AACACCACTTCTGTTCGTAATCTTGGAGTGATACTCGATCTCAGTGCTGATATGGAAGACCACATTAGAAAGATTTTCGAAAAATGTCATTTCCGTCACTAACTGATATCAGTAAGATCAGTACATATTTGGATCGTGAATCTGCTTAAGCAATTATTCATCCTTTTGTGACCACTAACTTGGACTATTGTCTGTACTGCTATTTTATATGGATTACCTAAAGTTCTCTTAAACCCCCTACAGCTAGTGTAGAATAGGAAAGCGGGAATTGTAACATTTACAAAGAAGTATGAACATATAACTCCCATTTTAATAGATAAAAATAAAAATAAATAGAAATCTCAACGTCAGGGTAGTCCCATCCCGTCAAAACGTCAAGTATGGTCGGACGAATCATGCCCGAATATCTGTGCATTTTGCTTTTGAGTGTTGTTGCTGAATTTTTAGGCAATTTAGTCATTATGCCGACGTTATGCTCGATGTTCTGGCATTATGCCCAAAGTCATGCCAACACATCAGTAATTTACCGACCCCTATTTCCAAGAATGATTTTTTTGTCATAGTGTAACCCGTTAGTCCACATGGATTTCCCTTGAAATCTTATAGATGATAGGGAAACTGGAAATAAATTTGGGTTAGAAAAAGAAAAGTTCAGGCTTACTGTACTGGGATCAACACTGTGCAGTATGAATTCGCAGTTGACCCTTCAAATAAGAAGTGAATGGGTTAATTTTTTATTTGTTGAAGGATTTTTAAAAAAGCGCTGGTGCATGCGATATGCAAATGACTACAACTTTTAGTGTCCGGTTTATATGGCGCATTTTTAGTGTCAAAATTCAAAACCTCGTTACAGACTTGCTATTTTTCTATTCAAACTTCCTGTTTGTCAATTCAGATACGCTATTTGTTTACAGAAACATCCATTGTTTCAATTCAAAGCAATATTTCTACAATTCAGTCATGCTGTTTTTCTATTCAAACGTGCAATCCTTTGTTTTAAAAATGTTTTTCTACTACCCAAACATTCAGTCGTCCAATTCAAACGTGCTATTGTGCAATTCAAATTTTCAATCTCGCAGTAGGTCATTTTACAGTTGTGTGCTTAGTTGCCAAGCCTTTGATTCAGAGTGAGGCTGAAGATGACCTTGTTGTGATAGAGACCTTTATCTAGTTAGCATGATAACAAAGTAATTTACATTTGAAAGGCAGGAACGTTTGTATCATAACAAGGTCATCTCTAGCCTCACTCCCATTCAAAGGCTTGGCAACCAAGCACACAACTGTAAAATGGACTATTATTGAGAAAAGCGTTAAAATATTTTATGGAGACTTTCTGTCCTGATGGAGGCAAATTCACAAAATTTGACTAAAGTTACATTCTTTTCTTTACCGGCTAAAGGACTGACTCGTTTTCGTGAGAGTGGAAATCTTTATAGAGATTTTCTTAGCTGAACTTTGAAATTTAAAATACAAGACAGAATTGTTTGGAGTTCTTGGTCATATGAAATTTCAGTCAATTCTTNCGATGCATTAATGTAAACAAACCTTCAATATTAACTTCAGCTGATGCCTGATCTTCCGACCTCTCAGGTTCAGGCGTGTAAGCGACACAGGTGTAATTGCCAGTGTCGTCAACTCTTACATCGTAGATTTTTAAAACGTTTTCTCGCTCTAACCACTCTATCTTTGAGTTGTACTCAATAACTGCATCATCTCTCCTCCAGTAATACTTTAGTTCCAGTCGTGTATCAGCCTTTGCCCGGCAACGAAGGTCGATATTGACGCGCTGTGGAACAAGCTTGTTTTCTGGTTTAACTGTAATTCGTGTTCTTTCTGTAGCAAAGAAAACAATATACAAACCCTTTGTGACTGCCATAAGTGACTAAGACGGAATTTCTCCTTGCAATATCAATACTATATCAAGCAGACAAAGGATGACAATAAAGGAAAAGATCAATTAGGGGATTATCAGTTAACCTAATTACAAATTCTTAATACTAACATCTTAAGAATTGAATGGCATACAGTAAAGAGGGCTATTCATGAGATCTTGGGTGTGATACGGTCAAACCAGGACAGGCTGTTCCCGTCAAGGTTGCGTCAGATATTTCTTTCCAAACTATCCTATCAAAAAAATTTCCTTGGAAATATATACTTTATCTTTCCTGTTCGAGTACACAAGAGCTTCTTCCAGCCTACAAAGGGATGAAATCAGCCGTGGCAAGTTGCCAAGGACTTGCGTGTAATTCACGCGTGTAATTCCCGCGTGTAATTCAGCTACCGAACGCGCACCCCTCCTCTACACACAAATCAAGTGTGCACAATTCCCACGAAAACACACTTGATAGACGTGTAAATCGTGGGTCGATATTCGCGAGCGATCCTATAGCAATCTCTACACTATAAAATATGACTTTCTTACCATAAACAGTTGCTGTTCCAACATCCTCGGCCGTGGCCAAGACGTTCGTGGCATTACAACGATATTCGCCCCTATCATCTTCAGTAACATCATTGATCCACAAGACGCCATCTGCCTGAACAGTGTAGCGTCGGCCAGTTGTGATCTTTGTTCCATTTCTGAACCACTCGAATGTTGGAGGAGGAGCAGCGTCTGGTTCGCATTTGAGGACGCCTTGACTATTCTTGAACAAGTAGAAGGGACCAAGAGGTTTAGAAAACGTTGGTGCTTTAACTGAAAAAAAAATACAAATCACAATCATTTAAATGCATAAAGCTGTTCGAAGTTCTTTGATCCTCTGTGCGTTATTAGCATCTAACTTCTCCCTATAATGTCAGCCCTGAATCACACATCGAGACCAGCAGAATAAAGGAAATTATAGTGTATTGGGAATATAGTAAACAATTGAAGAGTGTGTGTGTCCCCACTAAATGAATACACAACACATTAGCGACGAGGACGGGATCTGCCTTTTTCTGCAAGTCTGATGCCATGGCGTAAATTTCAAAGGCACTAACTCAGCTTTCTCCACTCGCTGTAAAGATCTGCAGCATCGATGTTAAACGGTGCGCGTGCAAGTAACAATCGTCCATCTGTCGTGGACTCCCTGCCGTTTCTGGCTGTTCGGTTTCGTCTACCTGTTCAGTAGTTCGAATCTCTTCCTCGTCGCCAATGTGTTCTTAGAGAGCGATATGTTCTACCTACGGATCGAGGATACCTTTCATGCTTTGCATGGTTCCAAGTACTCCGCTAAGATCGACGCCAAAAGTTGGTATTTGCAAGAGTCGCGTTATATCACTACGTTTATTGTGCCTCGTGGTTGTTACCGATTTAAGCGAACTCTTTTCGGCCTCAGCGACGCGAGCGAAGCCTTCCAGAGAATGATGGATAAAAATTTTGTTTGGCGTCCAGGGTGTCCGCATTTCGGTCGATGATGTAATTATCTATGGCAAGACCATATGGCTGAACTCCCTCAGCGGGTCCGAAAAGTTTTCACTTGATGCCGAAAGCACAACCTCAAGCTTAATCGTAGCAAGTGTGAATTTGGGGTAAAGCAAATTTCGATTTTAGGCCACGTTGTCTCTGAAAAAGGAATCGAACCTGATCCGGCGAAAACGGAAGCTATCAAAGCTACACCTTCTCCCAACAACGTATCCGATCTTCGGTCGTTTCTTGGAACTTGTGGCTATGTTTCTAAGTTTATCCCGAATTATGCGAACATAGCCGAACCGCCTCGAAAACTCACTCGGAAAGAGCAGAAGTGGTCATGGGGGAATGAGCAAGTAAAGGTATTCGAAGTCTTGAAAGAAGCATTATCTGGCGCACCAGCCTTGGCTTGTTTCCGTTTGGACCCTCCAACGTATGTTGTCTCTGATGCCAGTCCGCAGGTCGGTTTAGGGGCAATTCTACTACAAGATCAAGGAACTGGTGAGCGTAAACCGACCGCGTATATCAGTCGATCACTTACATCGACGGATAGGAAATATTCGCAGATTGAGCGCGAAGCGCTAGGTTGCGTTTGAGCTGTTGAACGTTTGCACGATCATCCGTTTGCCTTAGATCATACCTTGCTAACCGACAACAAGCCTCTCTCTACTATGCTCAATCCGCACTCGAGCAAAAGTTTACCACCGCGTATTCAGCGTTTAGCTTGGAGATTGCACCAGTCTACTTTGCGTAGTCAGCATATCAACGAAATTATTTTTTGGATTCTGGTTTCCTTTATAAAGACTACATTTAAAATTTGTTTTCACATCAAATTTTTCAGAGCTTCAGGCTGTCTCCCTATCTGACATGCGACCCGAAACTAGCAAAGACATCACGCTGTTCCAATTACTTGTTCAAATTCAAAGCGGAATTGTTCTCCGAGGAAACCGAATTGTAGTGCCACAGTCATTGCGGAAAAAAATTCGGAAACTAGCGCACAAGACTCGTCAAGGAATCGTCAAGACTAAACAGTTTCTTCGAACTAATTTTTTTTCTTTTTTTTTGGCCCGGTATGGATGATGCAACAGAAACTATGGTGAAAAATTGCCAAGCGTGCGTGGTTAATCAGCCTCTTCAGAAGTACACTTCGCTCCAAACAACACCTTTACCTGGTGGTCCTTGGGTAAAAGGTGTAGTGGATCTTATTGGTCAAATCGATGGAAAATCTATTTTGGATATATCAACAAAGTTGAAATGGTAAATTGGCCACCGTAACGAATACAAAAGCTGACGTTTCGAGCGTTAGCCCTTCGTCGGAGCGAAAGTCAAAATCAAAAAGTCAATATAAGTAAAAATCTATTTTGATTTATATTTAACAATTATTCGCCTCAGGTTCGGTGAATCTCGTCGAATAATCTCCGAGACGATGTCGAGGGGATTATTGGACAATATTCACCGAACCTGAGGCGAATAATTGTTTTAGTATAATTTCAGAGCTGAACAACAGAGAAATTTCTAAAATCATAACATTTTACTAACATTTATTAACATTTTATTTTAACATTTTTTAGTATAATTTCAGAGCTGAGCAAAGAGTTTCCAGCAATCTGATTGGTCAACACTCGCTGTAAAGATCTGTAGCATCGATGTTGAATGGTGCGGATGCAAGTAACAATCGTTCCATCTCTCGTGGACTCTCTGCCGGTTCTGACAGTTCATTTTCTTCTGCCTTTTCTGGCTGTTCGGTTCCGCGTCTACCTGTTCAGTAGTTCGAATCTCTTCCTCGTCGCCAATGTGTTACTAGAGAGCGATATGTTCTACCTGGGATACCTTGCATACTTTGCATGGTTCTAAGCACTTCGCTAAGTACTTCGCTACCTAGGATACCTTGCATACTTTGCATGGTCCTAAGTACTACGCTAAGATCGACGCCAAAAATAGGTATTTTCAAGAGTCGCGTTAAGTCACCATGTTTATTGCGCCCCGTGGTTGTTGCTGATTTAAGCGAACTTTTTTCGGTCTCAGCAACGCGAGCGAAGCCTTCCAGAGAATGATGGATAAAATTTTGTTTGGCGTCCAGGGTGTCCGCATCTAAGTCGATGATGTAATTATCTATGGCAAGACCACATGGCTGAACTCGGTCAGTGGGTCCGCAAAGTTTTCAATCGATGCCGAAAGCACAACCTCAAGCTTAATCGTAGCAAGTGTGAATTTGGGGTAAAGGAAATTTCGATTTTAGGCCACGTTGTCTCTGAAAAAGGAATCGAACCTGATCCGACGAAAACGTAAGCTATCAAAGCTACACCTTCTTCCAACAACGTATCCGATCTTCGGTCGTTTCTGGAACTTGTGGCTATGTTTCTAAGTTTATCCCAAATTATGCGAACATAGTCGAACCGCCTCGAAAACTCACTCAGAAAGAGCAGAAGTGGTCATGGGGGTGTGAGCAAGTAAAGGCATTCGAAGTCTTGAAAGAAGCATTATCTGGCGCACCAGCCTTGGATTGTTTCCGTTTGGACGCTCCAACGTATATTGTCTCTGATGCCAGTCCGCCGGTCGATTTAGGGGCAATTCTACTGCAAGATCAAGGAACTAGGCTTAGCCACAAGTTGCTCGGCAACTTTTGAAATTTTCGGCGACTTTTAGAATTTTGGCAACTTTTAGAATTTTCGGCAACTTTCGGCTTTTTGAGATTCTTTGAAGCCACTTTCTTCACGTTTTGAGCCACACTGGTCAGTTTTCGATAGACATTTGTTCAATTTATTCTAAAATACAATAATTAGGGCCCTCCCCCCATGGGTTGATTTTTGTGATGCCTTATCACGAGGTCAGTGGTATCATGTTGCACGTTTTTCAAGATGGCGGACAATTACAGTGACTATTTGTTGATCATGTGAAATGGAAAGAACCTCGGATATTATCATTGGACTTTGACAAATGAAGTTTTGATAAGAAGCAATGTGCGAATTTTTAATCTTCAACATCCAAAAAAGGTACTAAAAGCAGAAAAAAATTGGCAACTTTTCGGCAACCTTTTTGGGATTCATCGGCAACTTGTGGCTAGGCCTACAAGAAACGGGTGAGCGTAAGCCTACCGCGTAGATCAGTCGATCACTTACATCGACGGAAAGAAAATATTCGCATATTGAACGCGATGCGCTAGGTTGCGTTTGAGCTGTTGAACGTTTGCACGATTATCTGCTTGGCTTAGAATTCACCTTGCTAACCGACAACAAACCTCTCTCTACTATGCTCAATCCGCACTCGAGCAAAAGTTTACCACCGCGCATTCAGCGTTTAGCTTGGAGATTGCACCAGTCTACTTTGCGTAGTCAGCATATCAGCGAAATTATTTTATGGATTCTGATTTCCTTTGTAAAGACTACATCAAATTTGTTTTCACATCAAATTTGTCAGACCTTCAGGCTGTCACCCTATCTGATATACGACCCGAAACTAGCAAAGACATCACGCTGTCCCAATTACTTGTTCAAATTCAAAGCGGAATTGTTCTTCGAGGAAACCGAATTGTAGTACCACAGTCATTGCGAAAAAAAATTCTGAAACTAGCGCACAAGACTCGTCAAGGAATCGTCAAGACTAAACAGCTTCTTCGAACTCATTTTTTTTTTTTTTTTTGCCCGGTATGAATGATGCAACAGAAACTATGGTGAAAAATTGCCAAGCGTGCGTGGTTAATCAGCCTCTTAAGAAGTACACTTCGCTCCAACCAACACCTTTACCTCGTGGTCCTTGGGTAAAAGGTGCAGTGGATCTCGTTGGTCCAATTGATGGAAAATCTATTTTGACACATATTTAACAATTATTCGCCTCAGGNCTCTGTGCGTGATTAGCATCTAATTTCTCCCTATAATGTCAGCCCTCAATCACACACCGAGATCAGGAGAATAAAGGAAATTATAGTGTATTGAGAATATATTAAGCAATTGAAGAGTGTGTGTCCCCACTAAATGAATACACAACACATTAGCGACGAGGACGGGATCTGCCTTTTTCTGCCAGTCTGATGCAATGGCTTAGATTTCAAAGACACTAACCCAGTTTCTCCACTCGCTGTAAAGATCGATGTTGAACGGTGCGGGTGCAGGTAACAATTGTTGCATCTCTCATGGACTCTCTGCCGGTTCTGGCTGTTCATTTTCTTCAGCCTTTTCTGGCGGTTCGGTTTCGTCTACCTGTTCAGTAGTTCGAATCTCTTCCTCGTCGCCAATGTGTTACTAGAGAGCGATATGTTCTACCTGGGATCGAGGATACCTTGCATACTTTGCATGGTTCTAAGTACTTCGCTAAGATCGACGCCAAAAATGGGTATTTTCAAGAGTCGCGTTATGTCACCACGTTTATTGCGCCCCGTGGTTGTTGCCGATTCAAGCGAACTTTTTTCTTTCTCAGCGACACGAGCGAAGCCTTCCAGAGAATGATGAATAAAATTTTGTTTGGCGTCCAGGGTGTCCGCATTTCGGTCGATGATGTAATTATCTATGGCAAGACCACATGGCTAAACTCGCTCAGTGGGTCCGCAAAGTTTTCAATCGATGCCGAAAGCACAACCTCAAGCTTAATCGTGGCAAGTGTGACTTTGGGGTAAAGCAAATTTCGATTTTAGGCCACGTTGTCTCTGAAAAAGGAATCGAACCTGATCCGGCGAAAACGGAAGCTATCAAAGCTACACCTTCTTCCAACAACGTATCCGATCTTCGGTCGTTTCTTGGAACTTGTGGCTATGTTTCTAAGTTTATCCCAAATTATGCGAACATAGTCGAACCGCCTCGAAAACTCACTCGGAAAGAGCAGAAGTGGTCATGGGGGTGTGAGCAAGTAAAGGCGTTCGAAGTCTTGAAAGAAGCATTATCTGGCGCACCAGCCTTGGCTTGTTTCCGTTTGGACGCTCCAACGTATATTGTCTCTGATGCCAGTCCGCCGGTCGGTTTAGGGGGAATTCTACTGCAAGATCAAGGAACTAGGCTTAGCCACAAGTTGCTCGGCAACTTTTTAGAATTTTGGCAACTTTTAGAATTTTCGGCAACTTTGGGCTTTTTGAGGTTCTTTGAAGCCACTTTTTTCACGTTTTGAGCCACATTGGTCAGTTTTTGATAGACATTTGTTCAATTTATTCTAAAATAAATAATTAGGGTCCCCCCCCCAATGGGTTGATTTTTGTGATGCCTTATCACGAGGTCAGCGGTATCACGTTGCATGTTTTTCAAGATGGCGGAAAATTACTGTGACTATTTGTTGATCAAGTGAAATGGAAAGAACCTCTGATATTATCATTGGACTTTGACAAATAAAGTTTTCATAAGAAACAATGTGCGAATTTTTAATCATTAACACCCAAAAAAGGTACGAAAAGCAGAAAAATTTTGGCAACTTTTCGGCAACTTTTTGTAAATTCAGCAACTTTTCGGCAACTTTTTGGCAACATTTAGATACTTTTATCGGCAACTTTTTGGGGATTCATTGGCAACTTGTGGCTAGGCCTACAAGGAACTGGTGAGCGTAAACCTACCGCGTATATCAGTCGATCACTT